CAATTCTAATAGTTTCTCCATTTATGGTGATACTATTGATTGGCGCAGTTGTGAAGATTTTTGTAAAGAAAACAGCCCCGTTCTATAGAAGTATTGGCTTTGGTGAGTCGATAGGCTTTACTAACTCTAACATAAGGAAGGCCTCCGAAATGCCACCAGAAGGATAGTGATTTCGAAGTTGTTCTTGAACCCTAAGAGCCAACCTGGTGGTGCTATGGGTCAGGTGTTAGGCTACTAACCCTAAGGTCAGTAGTTCAAATCCACAAAGGAGAAAGGTGAGGTCATCTGTTCCCGTAACGATCATGCAGTCTCATTTAGTGCTGTGTCTGGCAGAGCAGAGGGCCAGTGAAAAAGAGGAAGGCCTTCGACCAGATGGACGACCCCGTGGCCGCATCAGTGGACTCCAACATAAGAACCATTGGGAGGATCGTGCAGGGCAGGGAGGCGCTTCGTTCTGCAGTACACAAGGTCGCTGTGTGTCAGAACTGACTCGGCGCCACCCAACCACACGGGTTGGAATCACCTCGGCAGCAGTGGCTTTGGCCTGTATTACAGCAGCGTCTCTGGAATACAGATTTCACCCAATCCCACCCCACCCCCCACCCCTCTCTAGTGGTTTCAGTGTAATGCAGGACCTAGACCCATGCATTTGGCCAGCCTACTTTCTTGCTTGCGTTTGCTCTGCAGTGGTCCCAGAGATAAGGATTTAAGTGCAAGTGCCTTCCTTTTTTGGAGATGGTAGGAGAGCAGGCGGTGAGACAAGGAAGGAAAGGCAATACAGTGTGTACATGAGAGGGTTTCCCCGGTGGGCCCGTGGGGTCTGTTCTTCAGGGGTCCCTCTAAGAGTTCCGGGTTAACGAAGCTGGGGTATTTATCTTCCATCTTCCATGCCTCTGTGGTGGAAACTATACCTTACTTAGACTTACTAATTGCCAGTACTCTGGCCTCAGTCTGAGCGATTGCCCCCGAGGGCAGCGGTTCTCAACCTGTGGGTCTAGACCCCCTTTGGGGGTCGAGCGACCCTTTCACAGGGGTCGCCTGATTCATAACTAGCAAAATGACAGCTATGAAGTAGCAACGAAAATAATGTTATGGTTGGGGGGTCACCACAACATGAGGGACTGTATTAAAGGGTCGCGGCATTAGGAAGGTTGAGAGCCGCTGCCTTAGGGGCAGACAGCTGTCGGTGTGCGTGGGACCTGTCCAGAAAGCTGAACGTGCCCTCCGGGGTGAGTGAGGACCTCTGGCCGGGCCTGCTAAACCCGCCTTCACACACTGAAGACTTGTTTGGTTAAGTCTTCAGTTCACACGTGACGGTCCTCAGAGGAGGTGGCCATCTTCCGGTGGAAGAGGCCATTCCTTTACAGTGGTGATGTCTCAGGACCCTGGACCAGGGCCGATTGCTTCCCGTAGGCCCCGTGTCACGGCAAGCATTTTCTTTTAGGTGGCTGGCTGAGCTCGCTCATGCTGCGATAACAGAAATGCCACCCATGGATGGCTTTAACAACGCACGTTCTCTGACCGTTTAGGGGGCTGGAAGTCTGAGTGCCTGCTCTGGGGGAAGGCTCTGAATGTTTATCTGCAAATGAGCATAACATAAAACTGTTCTTCTGAACCCCGTTGCTTAACTGATGTCAAGTCCCCTTCAACTCCTATCAACCTTCTAGGGGTAAGTAGAATAGCTTCATGGGGTTTCCAAGACTGCAAACCTTTATGGAAGCAGACTACCTTATCTTTCTTCCATGGAGAAGCTGGTGAGTTTGAACGGCTGACCCTTCAGTTAATAGCCCAACACTTAACCCACTGTGTCACCAGGGTGTCTTTAATTCCTAATATCAAACAAATCAAACCAAACCTACTACCATCAAGCCAGTTCCTACTCCTGGTGACCCTATTGAGGGTTTCAGAGACTGTAAAACTTTACGGGATCAGACAGCCTCATCTTTCTCACTTGGGGTGGCTGGTGGATTTGAACCACTGACCTGGTGGTTAGCAGCCCAGTGCTCTCAAATCCTAGCTTAACCAGGGTTCCTTTTTCTTCAGAATAAAACTAAAATCCAAACCCACTGCCAACAAGTCAATTTCAAGTCATAGCAACCCTCTGAGTTTCCAAGGCCTTCCCTCTTTCCAGGGTCAGAAAGCCTCATCTTCCTCCCTTGGGGTGGCTGCTGGGCTTGCCTCATGGTTAGAGCCTGATGCTCACCTCACAGCACCAACAGGGGTCCTTCAGTGTTTCTCTGGAGTGAAACACCTCCAAACGCACTGCCATCGAACGGATGCCGACCTATCGTGATCCTATAGGCCAGGGTAGAATTGCCCCTTTCCAGTGCCCAAGAGTAGACCTCTTTACCGGAGTAGGAAGCCTTCTCTTTGTCCCGAGGAGTGGCGGGTAGATTGAGGTAGTTAGTTTATTGTGCCAGCCTGGCCGATAAACACATGTGGGATTAATTGAAGGGCGGAGAGATAAATGCCTTGGCAAGCCTCGCCTTTCTTGTCTCTCGCTCTTTGATCATCGGACCAGTGTGCGGCTGCCTTGCTTGTTCTGTGCCTCCATTTGCCAGCTACGCTACCGGTGGGACACCTAATCCTTGTACTGTGTCGCTGTAATTTCTCGGAGGGATGTGTGGGTTCTCAGAAACAAGCAAGAGTAGATGATCGCACATGGCTGGGGTGGCCTTGAGTGCGTGCGTCGTGGAGGTCCTTGCCCAGCGAGGCAGCTCCAGATGTCCAGTTTTCAACCCGAACATAACCACACTGTGTTGTGCATTAGAAGGCCTGTTGTTAGTTTCCCTCCCACCACACCCCAACCCATGCTGACCCCCTGCACAGTGGCACAGCACTCCGTAGGCATAGAGTTTTCATTGGTAGTTTTTGGCAGGAGACCATCAGCCCTTTCTTTCTACTCTTCCTTAGTGGGGGAGTTCCTTTGAAATCTATTGGGAAGGTTTAACATTCCAGGGAAAACTTAGGAACAATTGCAGTTATTTGTCCTGATTTGTAAGAGTTTTTTACCAGCAGGAAGACACGTGAGTTTCATTTTCTCTCTCTTTTTCATGGGGTAAGGTATCTGGAGGGAGGAAGAAGGGGCTTTCTACTCCTGTAAAGAGGGACAGTCTCAGAAACTAACAGGGGGCGGTTCTACTCTGTCCTACAGGATCACTCTGGGTCGGGATTGACTCGGTGGCTGTGCGTTTGCTTTTTTGGAGATCTTTTGGCCACAAGCTCTAGGTGACGGGGATGAGAGGAAGGAAGGCGAAGACTGGCTAACCCTCCAACTGTGCAGATAACGCGTTTGCATTCTACTTGGCTAATTCTGCAAATCATTTAGACACCGAAGTGGCAGCCATAATACCAAGGGTCCATCTTTCTCTGATTTTAAAATAGAGACAAACACTGGAAAGTGAATATTAGGCAAAATAATCATTAATGAAGGGTTACAGTGATAGGAAAATGAAGTGGGGGAGGGGAGCTCAAGGGCCCCCAATCTTCTGGAGAATTTGTGAAAGTCTGTGATTCATCACATGCTCTCTGTTTATTAGCATTTGAGAATTCCGCGGAGGTGCCTAACTCTCCGACTCTTGCCCTTTCAGTCCCGAGGATGTTTTACTGACCGAATTTGTTTGCAGCTGCCTTTCTGGAAAATTTATGAGGGGCTATTCTTAAATTTTCCTCCGATCTCTCATTCTTCTCCAGGATATTATTGATTTTATTTTCCTGAACACAATTTTATATGGTAATATCTGTGCAGAAGCAATTTGCTATGGTTCAGGGAACTGTATTCTTATGGGCATTTGTCTTAGTAATGTGATTACAGAGTCACTAACTTGATCTTAATAACATTTGCCTATTACCGTGCATTAGACGCATGAAAGGAAGACTCTGTGGTCTCCAATCAGAGAGTTATCCTTGTGTATCTTCCTTAGCTTATTTGCCATGAGAACGTGGCTAATGTCTTGCAAAATTAATGTCCAGGTGATTTTGAGGGATTATTTGCATTATTGGGATCTACTTGATATTAAACCCAAACATTAACACCGATGTTGCATGCAAAAAGGAAATTACTTTTAAAAAAATCACACAAAAAATCCCAAACTTTTAAGTTCTTGGCTCAGGCCATTTTATAGAGTAGGCAAACTACAGTTCCTGGGATGCTGTCTCTACCCTGTTGTGGCTGCAGGAGGCAGCATGGTACAGAAAGCTTAGAACTGTAGCCCGTCAGGACGAAAATCTGACTGCCCTGGTGACTAAGGGTATGGACTGAGGCCGTGTGAGTGCAGCACTGTGACCTTCAGGCTCCTCCTCTTCCACTTTCCTATTTAAACATCTTTCCAGTGCCCTCCTCTTCCACTTTCCTATGTAAACATTCTAACTATACCCTCTCTTTAAAACAGTATTGGGGCTCATCTTCAATGGACCTCCCTTTTCTCATAAAACAGAGAGGAGCCACCTCAAATGATAAGCCTGTACCTAAGACTTATTGCTAGCAGCCTCATTCAAAACACCCCCAAAAGTGAAATGGCCCCAAAGGCCCATCAGCAGGAGAGCAGATACGTACACGGTGGCTTATCCACACGTGGGAGCCTCCTCATCCATGAAAAGAACAGAAGACGGACTCACACAACAGCGTGGATGTGTTGTGTAGACGTTCTGTCGAATGAAAGAAGCCGGACACAGCGGGTGCATCTTGCGTGACTATTCTGACATGAAATTCTAGAGCAGGCAGAACTCCGGGGGCCCCAGAAATCAGAACGGTTGATGACCTCTGGGAGGAGGGTCCTGCCTGGAAAGGAAGTGAGAGAAAGCTCTGAGGAGATGGGAATGGTTGAGTTTGATTTGGATGGGGACGGCATGTGGGTCTGTATTTGGCAAGACTTGTTGAGCAGCATAATCGAATTGTGTGTTTTAGTGTTTACACATCCTGTGTCTGCCATGAGGCAAGACAATGTCACCCACCCACTCGGTGTGCACGTCTCTAACGACCGGTTTTGGGGATCTTTCAGGACGCGGTGACCATTTGCACCCTGGGGATTGGGACGGCCTTTGGAGAGTCCATTCTGGACAACACGCCCCGCCATGCGACCATCGTCACCAGGGAGTGCAGCGAACTGCTCCGCATCGAGCAGAAGGACTTCAGGGCACTATGGGAGGTGAGCCCCGGCTTCCTTGTCAATTAATGCTGCCTCCACAGAGAAAGGGAGCTGCCCAGTGGATAATGGCATTACAGCCAAGCCTTAATGTGTCTCCTTCCGAGCCAGTTGGGTGGAATTTGATTTTCAAAACTTGCTTTTCAAATGACGGAGTGAAAAAGCCATTTTGACACAAGACATCCTTCTTTTCTTTCTCTCACTCTGTTTTTGTTGTTTTTTAAATTTAGTGCTTGCTCAATTTTCTGTCATCTGGCATACCTTATAATTATTTCTTGAATGACCATAAAGTGTTTTATGTCGTCCCCCTCCCCCGCTCCGATTCCACAGATGTGTTCCAAACTAGGGAACAAAATACTTTGACATTTTCTTTCTGCATTTTGAAAAATCATCACTGACACGTTCCCTAGTAAAGCGGAATGAATGGGGTTCACATCTGCTTCATTTAAATGCTTTTGAAAAATGATGAGCCCTGTAATAAGGTACGGGACATGGAGGTGTCTGAAGATGTCTGGTGACTTGCCTACTTCCAAACGCATGGGTGGCCCAGTGGTGGGTGGAGGCGAGTGGTCCTAGGGGCTTTTGCGTGGACCGAGGCTTGCCAGTACCCCTTAGGGTACTGAGCCCCTTCCCTCGAGGGACGGCGCATCTACCCTCATCCTCTATGCAGTCACCGCAAACCGAGCACTCATCAAGGCCCGGCGAAGCCTTGTATCTTTCCTGCTCATTCTTTAAGCTTCTGATTTTAACCCGCGGCTGCTCCGTGTCTTTGTCCTCGGCTCAGTGTGTCCATGTGTTAACCCATGGAGCTGGCAGGCTTCCCCACTTGTCCCGGTGTGGCTAAGATTTTAAACTTGATCTAAAAAAGAATTTTGTGTAATCAACTCGTTCCCCTCCAGAGCCAAACAAACGGTTGGGTGCCTTAAGGGAGCGAGCCCGCAGGTGAATGAGGGGTGCTTTGCCTTACAAGTCACGCAAAGCCTTGGAAGGCCCGGGTGGTGGAACCTGGGACTTTTATTCTTGGCAGTCGTGAATAAATTGCGGGGCGACTTGTTTGAAACGCTCGTCTCAGAAAATATTAAAGAGCTCCAGCCGCTTGGCAAAGTTCAGAGACAAAAGCTAGTTTTCGGAAGGAAGCCAAAGTGGGTTTGCATGAGGTGTGTGGGGAGAGGTTTTTCTGTCAATTAAAAGGGACCAAGCTTGGGGCAAATAAGCCTGGAAAAAACTCTCTTCAAAGGAGGAATTTGGAAAAAACTGGCTTAAGAACAAAAATGATCCCTAACTCTCGTCTGGGCTAGCTTATTCAAAATTGCTGATGATCCAAGGGAAAACTTGTAAAAATGATTTTAATTGGGAACCCTCCGTGTGCGGAGGAAGTCGCTGAGAAGTTGTTACCTATGAACATCCAAGAAACTTTTTTTAATTAAAAATGTTTCAGACATAACAGAAAACCAAAGAGCACCACACTCCTACCCCTACCTAGTGCAGCAGGTGTTCACGTGTGACCGCGTTTGCGTCTTCTTGACTTCTCTTTCAGATGAACCACTTTCACACCCATGACAGATCTCATGACATTTCATCCCAAAACATTCATAAAACACAGATCCTGTTACATAGCCACCGTGCCGTGATTTCACAGACAAAACGGACAAGCATGTCTTACTGTTGCCCAATAAATGCTTTACATTTCCCCCGTTGTCCTACAAACATCTTTGATATCATCTCTCCACTCCCCAAACTCTCATTGCCGTGGCTGCTGGCAGGTGCCAGTGGGCAGGTTCTAGCTCACAGTGACTTTCTGTCCAACAGAAGAGACCCCAGCCCGGTCCTGTGCCCTCCTCACAAGGCTTCCGACGTTCAGCCCCTTGTTGCAGCCAACCGTCTCATGGGGGGTTTCCTCTGTCCTCTTGATTGTTTTATCTGATTTAATGTCTGCCTGGTGTCTTCGTGGTTTTGGCTGCCAGGAAAGTTTCTACCAAATCCACGATTCATCTAGTTGTTTTCTCACGATACCTTTTTTGGTATCTTTACTCCACAGCTTCCTGTAAACCGAAATTAGGGCTGAAGGCTTGTTTAGATCAAGTTCAAACATTTTGGGTGAGAAAACATCGAAGAGGAAGCCGTCTACTTGCCTTGCTATTAGCATCGCTGTTTGATACCTTGGTCAGATTGTATCTGAATATGATTTATGGCTCTTCCACAGATGTTTCGCTTCACTCCAAAAAGCCACTACCACTTTGTGGATTCCAACTCGTAGCTACCCTAGAAGACACAGTAGAACTGCCCCTTTGGGTTTCTGAGGTTTTAAATCTTTACCAGAGCAGCCAGCCTCATCTGTCCCTCACCAAGCAGCCAGGGGATTAGAACCCACTACACCACCAGGGCTCCTATATTTTCCTTAGAGAAAAATTATTAAATGGAATTATTGCTACTGAGGGCTTCCCTGGCTACCCAAAACTTTGCCACACTGTTTTGCAGCTCAGCCTTGCATGTAAGCTCAGAGTGTGGTTTGACATCTCCTCAGTCAGAGATGAGGAGTGCCGGGGGCATGCTTCCCAGAGCTGGGAAGGATGGGTCACTCCGACCTCTTGCTGTTATAGGTGGAGGCCTGGGATCTCAGTGGGAACAGAGATTAATCAGATACTTCCTTTTATTTGCCTGCTCCTGGAACTAAGTGCAGAGCAGGAATTAGGTGCTCAATCAGCGCATGTGAAAATGCAATAAACTCTATTACCTAGCAATCTGTTAATTAGAACTCTATTAATGGACTTGTTTGTGAATATATAGTACATGATGATCTCAAGAAATTGCGAAATTCCAGAGTAGCTTCTGAATAAAAGGAGATTGAATTATGTTTATTCTACCGTTCATTTATTCTATGAGTACTTGTTGGATATCTCCTGTGCATTAGGTAGTGATGAATTCAGTGAACAGAGTTCTGCCTTCCAGGGAAGGGACTTCTGTTCTCCTCTCGAAAGGCATAGCATTCAAAAACAACTACGTTACATAGCTTCAGGATATGCTATATGATTAAGTAAAATTTATTCCTGTTCTTTGGATATTGGCAATCCATTGACAGCACACATGTATCACTAATCTGTTCACAGCATATTTAATTAGCCAGAACATACCTTCCAGGGTATGTCAGATCCTTGGGTTTTTAAATCAGCCCTCCATTGTACTGGTGGATGACAAGTAGAAGAATGAAACCCAAGCTCATACTGTCAGCTGAAGCCTAAGGTCGAGCCGTCAGCCCCCGACCAAGAGCTTCAGGAGGCTGGTAAAGGTCCAGGGAGTCATGCGATGTCTGAAGGAAGGGAGCAGAACGGTCAACTGGATCCGTGCCTATTGTTGGCCAGGGGAGAGCTCTGGCTCAGTGTCAGTGTTAAGCCAAAGATTCCAAATAGTAAAAAGTAGATAACTTGTATCGAGGGTCAAAAGCAGGGCTTGGAGCAGGCTCCTTCCCCTGCTGAGAATTTGCCTTTTCATTCAAAACAGAGTCAGAATCTACATTTTAAGAAGACCGCTGTATGTATTAGGCTGGATTCTCTAAAGAAGCAAACCCAGTGATGCGAGCATGTGTGTGGATGAGGGGGCATCACCCCCCCGCCCCCCCAACAACAGCAACAAAAGCCCTGGGAAAAAGCTCCGCTGGGCAGAGCTTTCATAGTACGCCTTTTTTCCTGCTAGGCGAGTGTCGCCTGGGAAGGTTCTCTCTGGTCACAGTGAATTTTATTGTAAAAGTTTCGCTTGAACCTTGTTTTCTTGTGATGGCCGATTTAAGAGAACAGCGTGCAGCTGTGAAATTTTGTTTCCTGCTTGGGAAAAATGCCACAGAAACTCTTGTGATGTTGAACACAGCTAACAAGGACAGCGCTATGGGAAAAACTCAAGTGTAGCACTATGGAAAAAACTCAAGTGTACGAGTGGTTCTCTCATTTCAAAAAAGATGAAATGTGGATTGATGACAAACCTGGGTCTGGAGGTCCATCAACTTCTCAAGTGGATGAAAATGTCAACTCATAGTGCATTTGGAGTTCATTCCACCAGGTCAGACAGTTAATCAAGCTTTCTATTTAGGCTTCTGAAAAGATTGCATAACAGTGTGCGACAAAAAACGTCCTGATTTATGGCAGGTGGGACTGGTTTTGCCATCAGGACAATGTACCTGCTCACATAGCCATCTCAGTGTGCCAGTTTTTGGCAAAAAAAACAGCATGCCTCTTTTGCCCCAGGCACCTGACTCACCTGACTTCGCTCCCTGCGACTGCTTTTTGTTTCAGCAAATGCAGAGGGACATGAAAGGACAGTGATTTGATAATGTAGAAGAGGTGAAGAAAAAAAATCGAGGGAGGTGCTGTCAGCCACCCAAACAGATGAGTTTGAAAAATGTTTCCTAGAACAGAAAGGCAGATTTAACAAATGTATTAAGTGTAACGGAGAGTGCTTTGAAGGTGATAAGGTTGTTTTGTAAAATAACGTAAATATATAGCTTTGAAAAAAATTTTTCAACTTTCTTTTTGGTACCCCACGTAAATACAAAAAGAAATTTTTATTAAGAAATGGAAGTGGGTACGTCCAGTCTGGTTAAGTCCCTGGGTCAGATGGTCAGCGGAAGGTTTCTTCTGACTCCTGTAGCTGCAGGGTCTGAAGGACAAGAAGCAGGCAGATGAAGCAGGAAGACCACAGGCTGGTGGGTGCAGAGCTGACCGGATCTGAGATCGGCCGAGTGCATCCAAAGTCAACAGTTCATTGATGCCTCCTGGGATCGGCAGGTGATGTCACAGGAGGCCTCCATGACCAGATGCAGGAGCCAGACCCAGCAGTAGAAGTGAGTAAGCTCCCTCACACTGTCAAGCTACGCGTGTAGCGTGATTGGCCAGCCCTTAAATGAAACTTCCCTCCATTGTAACAAGACCGTGAACTCAGTAGCAGCATGACTGCTTCACAGACGATAGCATCGTGGAGTTGACCACACTGTGTTGGAGAGGTGGAAGAATCCT